CGCCCAGCCCAGGGGCACAAGCCCTGCCCTGCTCCTGCTGCCACACTGTTCCTCAGCCAGCCCAGCAGCCATTGGCCCTCTTGCCCCCCTGGCCACACTCGGGCTCCTCTCCAGCTCCCTGCCCAGCCCAACTCCCAGCTCCCTTCCTGCCTGGCTGCTCTCCAGCCCCTCTGTGCCCAACCTGGACCTGCAGGGGCTTCTTGTGGCCAAAGGGCAGGACCCGGCCCTTGGCCAAATGCGACATCTTAACGTGATTTGCTTTTCCCGCCTGGAATTGACTCCTGGATATCCCATTCCCTGCAGCTCCCACGGCTCCACGCCTACAAATGCTACTGCAGCAACCAGCTGGCAGCCAAGGCCCTGCTGGACCAGAAGAAGCAGGACAGGAGAGTCCAGGACTTCCTGCAGCGCTGCCTGGAGTCTCCCTTCAGCCGCAAGCTGGACCTCTGGAGCTTCCTGGACATCCCCCGGAGCCGACTGGTGAAGTACCCGCTGCTCCTCAAGGAGATCCTGCGGCACACGCCCAAGGACCATCCCGACATCCACATCCTGGAGGAGGCCGTAAGTGAGGGCGGTTCCGACGGGAACACGTTCCTTTGGAGCTCCGGGAAACTCCCGTAAGCCCTCGGGGATCTCACCTGGGTTTGATTCAGGTTTAACTGGATTTCCCTGAAGGTTTGAGTTCCAGTGTCGGGGTGGGTTTATGGCGGACACAAATCTGAGTCACCCTCTCTGAGAGGAAGTGAGGGATCAATCCACAGGAATTCCATTGCCTGGAGCTCTGCAGTAGCACCTACCAGGAAGAAGCCCGTGCCCAGCTCACTGTTAATCATCCCTTTGATGATTAATAAATTAATCTGCCGTTGCAGATATCCATAATCCAAGGGGTCCTCTCCGACATCAACCTGAAGAAGGGCGAGTCCGAGTGCCAGTACTACATCGACAAGCTGGAATACCTGGATGAGAAGCAGAAGGATCCAAGGATTGAAGGCAGCAAAGCTCTGCTGTGCCACGGGGAGCTGAAGAATAAAAATGGCCATGTAAGTTCCTCCTGCTCCTGGGAATTCATTCTCAAGGGAATTCATTCTCAGGTTCAAACTGGGAGCCTTCACTCCTTTGGGATAGTTTAGACTCGGGGCTAAGTTCAAAAAAGCAGAGGAGAAAGCCCTTGGTGGCAGCCCGGATTTTGGGGTGGGAGGGAAAGTTTCCTTGCTGGCAGCCTTGGGAAGCTGGAAAACAATGAGCACAAAAGGGAGTGCTCTCCATCCCCAGGGATTTCCTGCCCCTGTTTGCTTTCAGGTGCTCTGACACGGCCCTTCAGGAGCTCTGCTCCAAACAAAAGGCTTCCTGCAAAGGCCTCTTTGGCTTTGGGCTGAGCTCAACCAGGAGTTTTATCTCCCACTGGACTCCAGGGATTGCTGCCTTTTGTGCTGCCTTGGTTTTAAACATCAAATCTTTTCATGTTTTCTTTATTTTTTTACTTTTTTCTAGTTAATTGGAGGATTGTTTGGTTTTTTTGTATTTTTATTTAATTTGGCTGTTGCATTTCTGCACACGGGGCGGTTTTGTGCTGCCAGAACAGATAATTGCTCCTAATCACCCTCCCCTTGGCATCTGTAAATCAGAATTCCAGGGTTAAGGATCAATAAAACAATCAAAAGCCGTTGAGGTAATTCCGCTCCGTGCCAGAAGTTGGGAGAGACTCACAAACTTATCGTGGGTGAAACCACAGATAAGGCAGCCCTGGATCCCAGAGGGGAGGATGTTTGACCTCATGTAACACGGAGCACGAGGCTTTGCTGATATCCCAACGTGCTTTTCCCTCTCTCCCAGAAACTCTACGTGTTCCTCTTCCAAGACATCCTGGTGCTGACCCGGCCGGTGACCCGCAACGAGCGCCAGGCCTTCCAGGTGTACCGGCAGCCCATCCCCGTGCAGGAGCTGCTCCTGGAGGACCTCCAGGACGGGGATGTGAAGATGGGGGGATCCTTCCGAGGGGCCTTCGGCAACTCCGACAAAGGTACGGACCAAACCGGATGGGAAGGCTCCTGTTCCGGCGCGGATCCGGGTGGTGTTTTGGGGGGATTTTGAATCAAAAAAAATCCAGAATAATGAAAACTGCCCAGAGACTTTTGATCTTTGAGCAGCAAAGGTGTTTATTGGCAGTGCTGGGAGCAAGCCAGAAATTACTGGACAAACTTGCTCGACTTGAAAGTCCAAAACCAAACCATTTTATACACATTAGATCCATGGTTACAGCATTTATTATACATATTAATAAGTAGGCTGGTCTCTAGGCAGAGTCTTTCCAGACATACCCAGTCTTCTGCTCTGGGGGTCTTCTCCTCAAGCCTTCATCCCTCTGGTGGTCGCCATGGGCGCCTTCCTCAATTTGACGTCTTCAGTGAGGTGACCTGAATTCTTCAAGCTTGCAAAATCCTGGCTCTGAGCCTTCTAGATCTTATTCAAACCTCTAGTTTACCTAATTTATTACTCTGTGTGTGTACTACTCCTGTTCTTTTTATACTAAGGCCTTCGGTCCAGTGAGCAGAAGAGAACATGATATCAACCAATGCCCCTAAAATGTTCTTCCAGCAGAACAGATATTGGGGTTCTGTAGCAGGCCGAGATATCTCAGTTAACTCTTTTAGGCCTGGCTCCCGTTTCAGTTCCAGGCACTTTCCCTCAGGCAGAGTCGCCCATGGAATCCCTGAATCCCGAGCTGGGAGCTGACGTGTTTCCCTCCCGTTTATCCCCAGCCAAGAACATCTTCCGGGTGCGATTCCGGGATTCCATCCTGGGCCATTCCCACACGCTGCGGGCCAACGATTCTTATGTTGTCATCTCCTGCAGACCTCTCATTTTAAAATGGGGATAATCTGTGTAAATAAGAGCTCTTTTTTAGAAAAACCCAAATACTGGAAGCCAAGAAGGTCGGGTGTAACAGGTGTGTTCTGCCCCAGTTGTTCTGTAGCTTTTACTGAGTCCCCTGACCCATGAAAACGTTCCTGTTAGGGAAAAATCTCAATTTCCAGTCTTGGCATTCTCCTAATCCCTACACATCTCATAGGCTGTGAATTTGTGATGCAGATTGAAATTAACTGGTGTGGTCATATTTTAGCAATTTTAGCTTTGTCTGTTGAGGGATAGTGCTGCTGGCAGGGCTTGATTCATAAAAGCAGCTCTCCAAGGCTTAACAATGAACCTCCCTGGTAGTTGCTGCCATCATAACCCAAGGTAAAACTGGTGACCTGATGTGTAACAAGATAACTGACTGCCCGAAGCTGGAATTACCTAGAAGACAGAAAGTTCCTTTTAATAGCAGAAGATTTTCTTAGCAGGCCAAGATATCTCAGTTAACTCTTTTAGGCCTGGCTCCCGTTTCAGTTCCAGGCACTTTCCCTCAGGCAGAGTCGCCCATGGAATCCCTGAATGCCGAGCTGGGAGCTGACGTGTTTCCCTCCCGTTTATCCCCAGCCAAGAACATCTTCCGGGTGCGATTCCAGGATCCCGGGCCGGGCCATTCCCACACTCTTCAGGCCAACGACGTGTTCCACAAGCAGCAGTGGGTGAACTGCATCCGCAGCGCCATCGCCCCCTTCCAGAGCTCCACATCCCCCCCGGAGCTCCAGGAGCTGCCGGAGCTGCGCGAGGAATCCGAGGAGAACAACCCCTCCGTGCCCAACGTCCCGGCCCGGCGGCGCCGCTCCGGAATATCCGACATGGAGCTGGACGAGGGCGCGGCCGAGCGCGGCTCCTCCGTCCTGGACTCGGGGGAATCCAGAGTGGGGGGCAAAGCACCCAGAGCCTCGGCCGGGCTGAGGAGATCCAGGGAGAAGCAGCTCAGTGGGAAGCGGAAAGAAACGCTGGTGTAGGGAGAAGAGGAGCCCCGGAGCGGGTTCCTTCCCTCGTTCCCTGAGGGAAAACTGTTTATTTATAAATAACGCCGTGTACATTTGTGGAATCGGGGCAGATCCCGGGGTTTTGTTGGAATGGCAGCTACTTGGTGTTCGCTCCCCTGTTGAACCAGGGGCTGGTTTTTACACAGGGAAACCCTCAGGCAAATCCCAAAGTTGGGCTCTCCTCCTGAAGGATTTCCTGAA